ATTGATTAATTATTAAAATTAAAGTTAAATTTTATTTTTTTATGTAATTTAATTATAAAAAAATATACTAATTATTATCTTAATGAACCCTTAGAAAATACAGTTGAGAAAAACTTAATCTAAATCAAACTCAAAATAATTGCAATTAAGTAATCATTTGTTTATGGACAAAATTTAATCAATTTATAGATAAAAACAAGAAAATGGGAAAATGGGATGGTCAGCTCCGCCAAGAAATCATCTTTGCCTTGCATACTGTTTCTCGAGAATTTCTTCACGGTAATTTCCAGATTCTCCTTCTCCAGCACCCCTCTATAGACTACCTCGTATCCTCCCTAACCCAGCTTTCGCTTCTGGTCAAAGTTGTTCGTCGCCATCTTCAAATCCTGAAATTGGAACTCCCTAGGCTTTCCTAGCAGGCTCTTCAGTGTGCCCAATATACTGAAATTATTGGCAAAAGCAATTCCACAAAATTAATAAGATACAGAAATTATTCAGAATTAAAGCAAGAGGCAGTAATTTTGTGTATCAACCAACCTTAATAAATATGAAAAAGTATACAATAGCACCGACAAATCAACAACCCAAAATAAGCTCTAAAACTCCAACAAAAGAAAACAGAAATCATAAATATGATATACACAAGAAAAAACAAACAACAAATATGAGGCTTGAGCCATCAGAAATTCAATGTGATAAAATACTCTACATATCATTTGGTGTTAAAAAAATTGCTTCTTTTCTGTGCATCAAATTGATTTAAAAGCTCTAGTTCCCATCCCCATTTCCCCTAATAAACAAGTAATTAACCATGGCAAAACCAACATCAAGATCCACCAGAAAATTACCAGATCCAATACAAAAATATAATGCCAATTAAAATCATAAAAAGAACAAATCTTCTCTAGAAATGCAACCCAAAAGACCCCTTGAAACCAACAGATATGAGCCATTTTTGTCTTCTTAACAAAGATCTAGATCGAATTGAGCAACAAATGCAACTAAATCAAATGCAAATTAGCCATCAGAAAACAATCATTTCTTCCATATGCAAACTTATCAAACAAAACTAAACAATATAGAGACCAAAAACAGCGTCGGGGATCAATCAAGAAGCCATGCTCGATAATAAAGAGTTCAATTTTTGAAAGGACGGAGAGGGGAAGAAGATGATAGAAGCTAGAAAATGAAATAAAACCCTAAATATCCTCAAAATATGGTAATTTCACAGAAGATTTAGAGTTTGACAAAGAACCCATGCTCGATGAATTGCAAATCTTGCTAAAAAAAGGTTCAAATTTTTAAAAGATGAAGAGGGGAAGAAGATGATAGAAGCTGCCAAACAAAATAAAAGCCTAGATATCCTCAAAATATGGTAATTTGACAGAAGATTCAAAGCTTGACGAAGAACCCCATGCTCGATGAATTGCAGATCTTGCTAAACAAAGATGAAGAAGGGAAGAAGACAAAGATGATAGAACCTGATCCCTAAATCCCTAAATCCCCAAATCCCCAATTTTATTCCCTAAACAACTTAAGGGTATAAAAGTAATTTGTGTAATCTACTGATTTTGAGGTATTTATTCAGCTGTGCCTCCACCTCAGCATCCTTCTCAGCAAAAAGAAAGCCACATCAAACATAGAGGAAGGGCTGATGAACGGACTGTTAAATATTAACGGAAGGGTTAAGAAAGGGGCTGATTTGCCACTGCAGGTGAGTTGAGGGGTTGATTTGCGAGTGAAGTGGGTTAAGGGGGTGATTTGCCACCAGTTGTTGAGTTTAGGGGGTGATCTGCACCTTTTGCCTTGTTTTATGTGGGACTGCCAGTAGCAGGATTAATATTAAACGACAAATTTAGTGTTAGGTTCTGTGTGGCCTTGTTCTTCATCAAGCATAAATTTTGTTCCCATTTTTGTGAAATAGCATGTATGCTATGGTTATGTGTAGCATCTAGTAATTAATCGGCAGGGTAATTAGCTAGTCAAAATGATGCAGTTGTCATTTAATAATGATGATTCAATTTGTTACCTGCTTATGACTTTCAAATATCAATTAAGGGAAGATTAAATGGACATTGTTTGATATTCTGCGGCTTCCATGAATTACTTTCTACAGGGATGTTGGAGTTGATGATGTTTCCCTAAAAATTACACACTGTGGAGTTTGTTATGCCGATGTTAGCTGGACTAGAAATGGTCATGGAGACTCAAGATATCCTTTGGTGCCTGGGTATGAAATGCCTACTTGTCGGTTTCAATTTTGTAAATATATATATATATATATATATATTTAGCTGATATATCTATACTTATTTATCACTTCCATACCAGACATGAAATTGTTGGAATTGTTAAAGAGGTTGGTTCCAACGTTCGTGGCTTCAAAGTTGGTGATCATGTTGGAGTGGGAACAATTGTCAACTCCTGCAGAGATTGTGAGTACTGCAATGATGATAAAGAAAATTGTTGCATAAAAGGGTGCGTTTTGACCTTCAATGGTGTTGATGTGGATGGAACCATCACAAAAGGTGGATATTCCAGCTATGTAGTTGTCCATGAAAGGTAAACTATTTTTCACGTTCAATGATATCCATATTTTTCTTCATGTTCATTCTGTTATTGTTATTGTGTTTGTGTTCTTTATACCCCACAATTACTTCTGAGGTTCTGTTATTGTTTACTCGAGTAATTCAAATAAATCGTCCATAAGATACCATGTTTGGTGTTGAATTAACAGATACTGCTTCAAAATACCCGATCACTATCCTCTAGCTTCAGCGGCACCATTGCTTTGTGCTGGAATTACTGTTTATTCGCCAATGATGCGCCATAACATGAACCAACCTGGCAAATCTCTTGGTGTTATCGGGCTTGGTGGTCTTGGTCACATGGCAGTGAAGTTTGGTAAGGCTTTCGGATTGAAAGTAATAGTTTTCAGCACGAGCATATCTAAGAAAGAGGAAGCCTTGAATCTCCTTGGTGCAGACTACTTTGTTATCTCATCTGACCAAGAGCAGATGAAGGTAAGCAATTTTTTTTGCCATGTTGTAAAAGGCTCATTTTTCCTCTGATCTCTCATGTCTCTGACCTTTCTGGAACCAATTTTCTTGGATGCAGGCCCTAGCTAAATCACTGGACTTCATAGTTGACACAGCATCTGGTGATCACCCCTTTGATCCCTACTTGGGACTCTTGAAAATTGGTGGGATTTATACCCTTGTAGGGTTTCCAAGTGAGATAAAATTCAGTCCTGCTAGCCTTAATCTAGGTACCTTAACAACATTCTGCTTACAGTTTATCTCCATTAATAAGTCTACAAAATTAACAACTTAAGTTGAACTTTCAACAGGTTTGAGATCGGTTTCCGGAAGTATTACAGGTGGTTCAAAAATGATCCAAGAAATGATCGATTTCTGCGGTGTAAACAAAATTTACCCAAATATTGAAGTAATTCCAATTGGGTACGTAAATGAAGCTCTTGAGAGGCTAATAAAGAGGGATATCAAGTACCGGTTTGTGATTGACATTGAGAACTCCCTCAAGTGAAATCCTGGTGGTAAAATTAAAATCTTAACCTCAGATTGCATGTCGTTTCTCATGGATGAATGGCATGCATAAGGTTTGATGAAGTATCTGTTCTAGAGCTCATACCATGTAATGTTGAAGCAATTATGGTAAAATAAGCGAATAGCAGTATCTTTTTGTTTGAAAGAAAGTTTGAGTGAAAATGGATTTGGTCAAGGCTTGTATCAACAGAATTTTCAATGTAACCTTTTCATTTCAAAGCCCTGGAAAGATCTTTTTAATGGAGTAATATGTTGTTATTCATCAATTTATAAATTTAATTTACTAGAACATATTATACTTTAATAATTGATTAAAAAAATCACGTTTCCTCAAACCAAACATAATTTAATTTAACTCGTTTGATTTGAGGAAATAAGTGGGCAAAGGAGGAGACTATCTTTCAATTTTCATCCCTCCAATCCCCTTTGGATATGCTAAAATGTTAGGAAAATTAAAGTAAAATACTAAAATCCCTCCCCATCCCTCCTCTTCTAAATTCCGCCATCCAAATAGAGAAATTTCTTGCCCTTCCCTAAAACCAATCAAACAAGCCACAGTAAACCAATCAAACAATAAATGTTGAAACAGAACACCAGCCATAGTGTTTAGGTGGTTCAGCACCCATCCTTGGGCCTCTTTGGTTGGAATTTCAAACCCTATTTAAGCATTCTTTTCTACAGTAGGCACATCATTCATTTAGCTTTCCTCCATCCTGCTTTCCAGAAAGCAGGTGGCACACTCACGCTCAACTGCCATGCAATGATCTCAAAGAGGATTCTTAAAGGTAACATAAGTAACACAAACCAATACCAAATGCCAGTACATGAATGCTACTAATATAAAACGGACAATAACACAAAGATGTAAAACCAACACTATAATAATGCTAGTAGATGACCAAAATCTTCCAGGCAATAAAAAGGATAAACATTCTCATTCTCAGCAACTGAAATCCAAAAAGAGATAAAGAAAAAGAAAAATCAAAATCCAACAGTTTTACTGGAACATATAATTGTAGCAGCACTATAACAGTTGATGGAAAACAATCACTCTTCTTCTGCGATTCTGCCCTTCTCACTAACGTAGATACCATCAAGGAATTTCCTGATATCTTTGTTCTTGACATGGCATTTCTACACAAGACAAATTGAGGCAGTTAGAAAATGAGGTAAAGTCCTGAAAAATATTATTGATGTGGTCACATAGACACACAAATGCAGAATGGTCAAGAAGTATGAATGTTGACAGCATCTTTATGCAAAGTGTATGAGTACACACAAGCACACATGTATGCACTAATGTTTACAAGAGTGCTCCCACAGAGTAATCGTACCTGGTTTATCAAAGCAGCTGACCGCGACACCAGTTCAATACCATTCCCATCCAACACGATTTCATCTTTAACCTTCTCAGATTGAACAATAGAAACACCTTCAAGCATATCCACTTTACAGACCTAAAGATCATTAAAAAGAAATATTTGGAATCAAAACTAGGTTTATGAATAAAATCTTACTTATTATGGCTAGGCTAGGCTAGGCTAGGCTATCCCGATTTAAACCCAAATGAAACAAGATAATGGGGATATGCAGCACAGGATAAACAAGAAAGTTAACATAACCACGAAAATTTTGACTGTATTTTTATTAGGAAATGAAAAACGAATGGTGAAAAAAGATGCATCCTTTTTTATGAAAGGGAGATCACATTCAGTTATAAAGGATAGCTTGATTGACCCATGTCAATATAAATACAGATTTCCATTTGTAAATTGAAAATGTTTTAACAAATTGCTTTCTTGAATAAGAATAAAAGGAATAATACACAAATCTGATTTCATACCAATATAAACATACACATAACAAATGAATCAATTACGCAAATAAAAAAAAGGAAAAAGAGAATACCTTCTTCTCGCCCAAGAAGTTGCGGATCTCTATGGACTTGTTGCCATTGGTGATGGAAGCATTGATGGGAAAGTGAGCATAGACGAATCTCATCTTGTAGTGGTAACCCTTAGTCACACCGGTAATCGGATTCTCGACGTGGCTAAGCGCGGTACGGATGGCAGGCTGGTTTTCCTGGAGCCGAACCAGGCCTCGATCCTGAGCTTGCGCTTGCCCGTGGACTCGTCCTTGATGAGATGCAAGTCAAGGTTGAGGTGCTTGAAGTTGCGGGTAAGCTTGCCCCTCGGGTCCTCGACCCCGATCACTTTCGCCTTCACCTTGATGTTCACCCCATCAGGGATGTCCATAGTCTCCGACGACAGGATGGTCTTCATTTTCTTTCTCTTCTCCCAACTAGGGGTGGCAATTCCCCCCGATCCCCGCGGGGATCCCCGTCACGGGGACGGGGCGGGAAGGAATATTCCTCCCCGCCGGGCGGGGATGGGGGCATTTTCTCTCGTGAAATTTCACGGAGAATTTTTCCCGCCCGGCCGGGCACGTGGGGATCCCCATCCCCTGAAAAATTTAAAAAAATAATTTAAATTCAATTTAATATTTAAAATAAAACCCAAATCTAACCCAAATCTAACTTTAACCCAAACCCAATTCAATAAAAATTAAATTTTACCCAACCCAACCCAACCCAAGTATCCAACCCAACCGGCCAACCCAACAATCCATTCCAGCATCCTCTCCTTAGTCTTTACAAGTTCTAACCCTAATTTCATAACTTCAACTTTATTCATTTCCCCTCATTTTCTCCTCACTCAGTCACTCACGCACGCAGCCACAATCCCTCAGTCACTCTTGGTCTCAGCCGAACAATCAACCTCTCAAGTCTCACCTCACCTTCAACCTTCCTCTCCCCTTCTTGCTGCTACAGATCTACTACATATCTGTTGTTGGAGCTGCTACAGATATGCTCCTGAAGCTGCTGTCAAAGCTATTAGCTGCAACTTGCAAATCTGCTCCTGTGCCAGACTCCCCTCTACTTGCTGCACTGCACTATGTCAAGGTAGAGAGTTCTTTATCTCTCTGTTTTCAAGCCCAGGTGAGTTCTCAACCCATCTTCCTCTTTGATTCTTTGTTTTTATTTTCTGATTTTTAATTCATTATACGTGATCTTAATAGATTCTTTTTGATGACTTGATTTGAAGATTTCTGTTTCGCATGATTAGATACGATGAATGATTCATGCATTGTTCATAATTTATTGTAATTTTCTATGTAATTACATGATATTGGGTGATAATTGAATTGGGTTTGTTGTTGTTACCATGATGGTTGTCTGGTTGAGACGGCATTGAAATTCAAGTTAGGCGTATTAAGTGAAAAAAAAGCACATTGAAATGTCTTGTGTGTGTAAATATAAGATGGGCTACTCCACTTCTCGTCTCATGTAAAGTCCACATGTTTTCAAAAGGTGATTGAGGGGATGGTAAGCAAAAGTGGTTGATGTATTTTTGCTTGGGAGCATATCTTTAGCTGGGGGACTATGATTTTGTCTTTCAGTCTAGCATACAATATGATACTGTGACCTATTCTTCATATGCGTTTATACTTATTTGCTTTGACTTGTATTTAGGCGATGACCACATTGGAGTTCTACTGATATGTATGTGATTTCTGGGTTGTGCATTTTTTTCTTCTTCTGCATTGCTTCTCGGAAAATCATGTATTCCCTTTGTTTATGCTTTGGGAAATTTGTTAGTTTTTCAACCAATTACTTTTAGTTAGATAAAAGTGAGGAATGTCAAAAGGTTGAATTAGTAAGAAGTTTAATAATATGATTATGGTTGAATTAACATAGAGAAAGTTTGTATTTCCTAGAATTTACTAGATTTAATGGCTGCTTATAGTGTGAATTGCTTAGTTAATTTTTTTACATAGTCATATACTGTCATATTGATATACATATAATATAGAAAAGTTTAAAGTTTATTTTATAATGACTTATTTGGTATGAAAATTTATTTTATATTTCAATGAAAAGGCATAATTGTTTTTTTTTTTAAATTTATTTTTAGGTGATAAATGTCTAACACACAAGAGCAGAGTGCTGAGGGATCATTTCAAGCTCCACCACCAATTTATTGCTTTATGTTGGATTAATTTCTATGTATATTTGGAACAACTTATGTTTGGAACATGTTGCTTTATGTTGGATTAATCTCTATTTGGAACAATTT